ACCCTTTTCATATCTTTTTTTTCCCTCTCCTTTATTGTCTTTTCTTTTCGTTGATTACATTTCTCATTCCACTTTTCTCTCCCCACTAGTTTGAAAGTTAAATCCCATTTCGCTTGTCTTGATGATTATCATGGAAATTGTATAATCAGCTAATCAACCTCCAGGGGTAATTAATACAAGAATTGTTGGACTAACACAAATCTCCTGCTCCAAATGTATGCTCTTATGGCTGGAATTTGTTTCTCTTTGTTCTTCCAAGGTGTTAGTGGTACTGCTTCATATAATTGGGGCCTGATGTGCCCACAGTCAGTACCTTCTCATCTTCCTTCCTCCTTGCATCTCAGATCCACCTCCTGGAACTCCCTTCCTTCACAATCCTCTTTAATGACGTTCTCCTTGGGTTCTCAGCTTCACTTAGTTTGTTCTCTGAGTATTCCTTAATGTTCCACGGGCTCATCAACATATTTTCAAAGGTTTCAGATATTTTCTTGTATTTGGGGCTCTTATACTGGTAAGCAGGAGGACTGACCGGTTACATCTCTGCTAGACCCTGAATGCCAGGGGCGGGACTATGGCTCTTCTGTTTACTTGCGTTATCACAGGTTGTTAATGCAGAACTCTTTTAGTCTGAATTCCGGCTGAGGCCCTGAGACAACAGGTGCCAACTACAGTGAGATTCCAGGTGACACAGGCAGGGCTGAAAAGCTTTTGGACCTGCCCATCTGCCATGGGTGCCTAGGGAACCAGGGCCATCCAGTCAGGGCTGCAGGACAGGCGTGTGTGGAATTGGGTGACAGAGGCTGAGCACAAAGAATCACAGGGACAGGAGGACAGTTTCAACCACAGGGTACGTGAAGAATGGGGGGACAGTGTTGTCACAACGGGAAGAATCTCCAGATTTTGTAATCTTTCCCTTCTCCATTGTGTTTACTGAGATGGCTCCCCTCTCCTTGGCACTTCTCTCCCGGGCATCAGGAGCACACATCTGTTACCCGCAATGATGCTCCCCTCTGTGTGACTCGCTGGGGACGCCGGCAACGTGCCAGACCTGCGTGGACAGTGGACCCTCTGTCATCTGTGCAAGCTGCTTCTCCCTGCCGGGCGGGCACTGGTCCTTCTCCCAAATGAGTGGGCGCTCAGGGAGGGCGGCCTAATTGACCACTTAGCCTAAGTGAGTGGGTGAGGGGCTTCTTGGACCCACACATGCAGGGTCCACATGTCCTGGAAGGAACCCCTCTACACTCCAGCCTCACCTAGGGGGTCCTCAGGCTTTCCCTCTACCCACCTTCTCCCACATCGTCCCTCTTGTGAACGGTGAGATTTACGAGTGGAAAACTCTGCTCTTGGGTACAAGCAGAGGGTTTATAACTCGGAAGCACCGTCCCTTTGCTCTGTGCAAAAACCAGTAAAATAAAATAAAGTAATCCCGCTGCCTTTTAAAAATTCATGAAAGTCAACACTAAACATTACTGGAAATTTTCAGGTCATTGTTACCCTTTGAAGATGAAACTTTCCAGTTCATGTCCTTCCCAAAGGTGACTTTTTATAGAAGTGGTAATGAAATTAATTCACCCACTTCTGAGTCAGGAAGCACAGATTAAGATCCAATTTTTATAGCTTGGCTTTTTTTCTAACTACTCAGTGGAAATGAATTGAGGAAAGCGTTTAGAATTTTCTCTAAAATGTACACCTTGGGAAGCCTTGATCGAAAGGGTGCGCTGGCAGAATCAGGTTTGCTATTTCACTCGGTGGTGACAGTCGCTCCCACAGCGTCTCTGTGAGCTTAGCAGCCAGGCCAGCCTGCAGCGGGACAGGAAGCTGCCTCCCAGGCTCAGGCAGGGGCCCTGGCGCGACATGGAACTGTCACTCTGCTTCTGGTTAAAAACTAGGCATTCAGGTGGACACCTGGACAGTCGTCTGGACTCCTGGGAACAGCAGTCTTTGCAAGACTGCCAACCCTGGCCTGGCTGGCACAGCTGGACTGGTCCAGACAAGGAGTGACCGGTCCCTCCCAATCTCTGGGCCTGGAGGTCTCGTCTTCGTGGGTGTGCCAGTGGAGGAGGGAGAACTGACCACCCCATCAGGCAGCCCCCAACCTGCCTGAGCTGTCCAAACAGCCCAGTAGCTGCAGGCGTAAAACAGGTGCTTCCCAGAGGCAGGTCTGGCGCCCCCTGCGATGGCGCGCTGTCATTCTGTGTGACTTCCTGTACTTCATCACATCACAGCCCCCCTGGAAAAGCACAGTCGTCCTGCACAACCTGATAAGGCTCCAGGTCACCGCAGCAAACTGACCTTAGCACCAGGCATGGGACCGGGGCCTGGTGAGGGGACAGGGCCTTGCTGAGAGGAGACTTGGGCACCGGGGCATGGGCACGTGCCCTCCACAGTGTCAGGCCAGGCAGAAGGTTCTGAGGGCTGGCCTGTGTCTGCAGCACATGCTCTGCGTCTGCAGGGCTTCCCAGGGCCTCCCTCCAGGGACTCTCAGCTCCGTGAACACAGCCCTCTGGCCCAGCAGTCAGGGCACAGTAACATCTACTATCCCGGTTCTCAGAGTCAGGCAGCTTTTCCGATGAGACGCAATTCCTTCTTTCCGTCACCGGTCCCCCAGCAGGTTTCCTGCGCTGCCTCAGGGGTGCTGCCCCCGCCCCCGCAGTCTGCTCAGCCCCGATTGTATAAATTACTGTGCAATGTGTGGTTATAACACTCATGCGTGAGGAACGATGTGACGATTTTAACAATTACTGGACTAATTGGAACTATCTACCCAGCTGCCCCGGCTCAGCTGGGTCCAGGACAAGGAGCCTGGAGCCCCACACCCGGATAACAGCAGCACTGAGAAGGTTTTCTCGGCTGTTTCACACATTTAAGTTTTTCCTATTTATAAAATCGATACATTTTGGTATGAAATTAAAATCCCTGGAAAGCGAAACAAAACCCCTGGAACGTTTCCAATAAGGAGGTGGCGAGGAGGCCCCCCCCCCCCTGCAGGGTCAAGGGACAATGCTGAGTGTTAATGCCATTCGGGCGCCCTCTCCAGCGTCCCCACAGCCAACACCCTTTACAAGGGCTATGTGAGGTGCCTGGAGCCAGCAGGGCCCCTGTGACAGCGGTCACACACACCCACGACGGACCCTCCTCCCTGAAGGGACACAGGAGGGCCGGGGGAGGCCTGGACAGGGCCCTGACTCCAAGTCAGAAAGCTGCCACACCGGGTCTCCTCCAAGCCCCCGGACCCGGCGGCCATGCCGAGCCCACACGGGACCTGGAACCACGCTCTCGAGTCCCCTCGGAGGCCCCACTGGCGGTGACCGTTGATTTTTAACTTTGAAAGGAGTGTGATTCAAAACCACTTGAACGGACATCACATTCAGCTTCTGATTGGAATACAGACGCCTAATGCCCCTCACTCCACCTCAAAGCACCAGGAGAAATTTTCAAGTTTGCAAGTTTTTGTGGGCTCTTCAGAGACCCGAGGTCCCAGGGCAACCAGTAACCCAAAACGTAAGGAAATAAAGGCACTTCTGGGGACAGACAGGACATGAGCCTGATACTGTGGACACTGCGAAGGAGAATCCAGACTCAACTCAGACAATTCTGAATGTGGGCCCAGAACCCAGTGCGAGAACCCAGGGCCCTGGCAGTTATAAATGCTGGAGACGGGAACCCGCTGTAGCTGCTTCTCCAGGAACCCCAGGGTGCTCACAGAGAAGAGGGGGCCGGGCGGCAATAGCTCAGCCCACATGCCTAAGGTGTCCACAGGCGTGAGTGTGGGTGGGCACAGGCAGGTGGCCTGGGGAGGCACAGGAATGCAGGATACCCCAGAGGAGCCCCGGGCATGGCCGATACCTGAGCCACCAGCGCACGGGACCACACCCAGCTCCGCACATCCCACAGCCACACAGCCTGTGTGCTCGGCCTCCCGGGGGCAGATGGCCCTTCCATGATGGGACATCTCAGCGTGGCTCGACATCAGCCCCACACCACCAACACGGGTCCATGTCCCGGAGCAGAGGGCAAACACAGACGGGGGGCTTCACAAAGGGCTGGGAGGAGCCGAGACCACCCGTGCAGAGATCTCACACACAGAGTGGGGTCCTCAGGGGCCAGCAGTGGCCAGAGGACTTGGGGCTCCCGCTCCGTGAGAGGAAATGAAGACCAACGGGCCTATGGAGGAGGGACCGGTGATGCTGTCCAGCTGGAGCACATGGCGGGCAGAGCTGAGTCCTCGGGAAACGGCCCCATCGCCAGGAGGAGCAGAGAAAGCTAGCAGTGGGCAGAGGCCGAGTTTCACCCCTGACACATCTCAGTACAAACGGCTCCCACTGCTGTGCAAAGTAGGCAGGCCTGGTTCACATGGTCCCAGGCCTCAGCCCTCAGCCACTGTCCATCCTCACTGCAGCCCAAGGCATTTTGTTGAGCAGCATGAAGAAGTGCAAAAGTGGACGGCAGGCAGAGCAGAACTCTACAGTTTACTACAGTCCCCACCCGTCCCTGTTGTCAACACATGCCCGCTGACACATTTACCTTTCCTGCTCCTGAAGAAATATCCTAAGTTCATGATTTTGTAAGAAGTTCACCCTTAGTTCACTGGTAGTGGCAGTCACAGGGTTTAAGATAAGTGACACGCACATTTCTTTCTCAGGAGCTGAGCCAGGCCACATGGAGAATGAGCATGACCTGGAGCACCAGGCGTGGGAGCACAGCAGGCACCCAGCACCGCAAAGCAACCACAGGACCGGCCACGCAGCTCACTCCAGTTAACAGCAGGACACGAAGCAGCTCCGCCTGGTCCCGGGAGCCCTGGGGTTGTGAGGAAGCCCCAAGGCCCTGGCAGGGAGGGAGGCCAAGGGTTAGGGTGGGGGGGAGGGGTACTGGCTCTACTCCTCCCATCAGAGCTGTCTGGTTCGGCAGTCAGCGAATCCTCCTCTAAATGGTCACACAGGACATGAGGCACAAACTATCCATCCAGCAAAGAGGGTGAGCCCAGGTGAGAGTCCTACCTTGGAAGAAGCTCTTCACCCTGAGGTAACTGACGCTGAGACGCAGGACCGAGAGCTTGTCCAGCTTGGAGACAACATCTGGTGGAAAGGGCAGCAGGCTGGCCAGGTGGTCCAGCTCGGCGTTGAGGCGGTCGCGGTGCCGCTTGGAAGGGTTTGACTTCTCAGCCCCCACAGAAGGCTTCCTGTGAGGAAACAGCCAGTCAGACTGGGGTGGCTCCACCAAAGTCCATGGACCACACAGGTGGAGACCTGTCCCTGCTTAGAATGGAGCTGCCGCCAGGGGAAAAAAGTGCTGAAACAAACTAAAACTCACCCATTCCTAAGAGGTTCATGCTAAGAATCTGAAACTGCACCTCAGTGACTATCTCTCATTACGGGGAGGAAGGCACAGAGAGATGAAGATCAGGTAGCCTGAGAACCTGGCTCGGTACAAGCTGTGCGACTCCAGCATGGTTCTTGACCTCTCTGTGCTAAACTTTCCCAGAAGTGGGAGAAAGGCAGCTGGCTCTAGGCTGTATCTACTCAGCCTCGTTCAGTAATTCCTGTGTCTAAACACGTGGCCTTCTAGGACCTGGATTCCTTGCCCTGCAGTCCACGTGCAAGTGGCCTCTCTGGGCCTCAGTTTCTCCTCTACACACCAGGCTGAAAGGGATGAGGGGAGGATAACTGAGGACCCTGGGCACCGTGCGCTGTCCCACCTACCCCTCCAAGGCCTGAAGTCAAGGGCTGTGCCTCCATGCAGGTGGGCGGGGCCCTGGCTGCTTTCTTCCCTTGCCCCACAATAGACCAGCTGGCCCCTCAAGGGGGTGTGCCTTGTCCACCCTCCCTCACCCCAGACCCCCACCTGCCTCACAGTGACCTCCCTCTCTGCCCCTCTGGTCCCAGGATGACAGTGTCCTTCTTCTGACCCTATTTCCCACCTCACAGAACTGCTTCTCGCCCTTGTTCTTCCTAGATCTCGCCACAGGAAACCTGCCCCTAAATGGCCGCTAGGGCTGCTGGGAGAGGCGCTGGCTCCCGGGCTGACCCCCCTGCCCCCCGCCCCCC